CATCTGGTGGTAGTTATAAGGAACTCAAAGATGGAGGGTGTGGCTCATTGCCTCTCTAAAGGGCAGAGACTGAGCACTGGACTCCAGAGCCCAACAGAAATGATACAAACCTTAGTAAACACCTATGAAAACACTTCCTGTAATAAATAAACTGTATAAAATTTTATTATGTTAGTCAGCTAAGCCTCATTATGTAATTCAATTAGAAAATCTTGACTGCTTCCCTGGTACTCTTTGTGCAGAAAAGAGCCACACAGGGTGTTCCTGGAGTTGCCCTCTTCTGTGTCCCCAGGTTCTTTGATTGCTGGCCCCAGCAGGAAAACCTTCTCACTGGGGGATATCTCACTGTTGCTGCCCTGGACACTCTGGAGATTCCCTCACTTCCTGTATTTTTCTGCCTCTTACACATTCTGCTGAGTCAACTTCTTGCTTTGCCCAGGCTTTTGTCAAAGCCAAACTAAATCTGAGACAAAATTAACAAAGGCCATTTACTTAAAAAAATTGACACAGGGAATCTGTCTGCCATGGCTTTCCTGCAGCAGAATTCGAAGATGCTAGAGAGGAGAGTGAGTTTTCTAGAGTAAAAAGAGGAAGATGGGCCTAGGACTAATCAGCAAACATTCTCTCATGATGGCAGTTTTAGAAGAAAGGGAGGCTTTCTGATTGATTTTTGGCTGCACTTGGCAGTTTATGGCTGGCCATAAAGTGACAGGCAAGCACTTGAGGGGCATTTTGGAGAAGAAAGATTGTTCGTTGTTAGGGGTAGAGGAGAGCTTATTGTGGAATAAGTGGGGGTTGGTGTGCTACTTTTTTTGGGTCCAAATGTCACCCTTGCTGGGTATAGCATGCTGGCCAGACCTTTTTTATTTTTTAATTTTTTTTTTTTTTTGGCAAAGCCTCCCTGTTTTTTAAAAGAATTAATTTTATTTTTATTATTTTATTTTTTTTAAACATTTGGTTGCTGTACATCATTTGGCTTGTAAAGATAACTTACTCATCATGAAATACATCTCAGACCAGTCCAGTGGACCATTTCTGCCTCTTACATCTGTTGACATAGAGCAGCAGATGTGACTAGGAAGAGGATGATGTCGGCAGGGACTGATGGATGAGTTAATGTTGATGGAAGCTAAATTGGTCAAACACAGTTCTTCTTCTTCTTCTTTTTTTTTTTTTTTTTTGTAGATAATAAAGTGGCTATTGGGGAGAGGGGCTGGGTTGATGCCTCAGGCAGGGCAGGTTTTTGCCATATGGCAGAAGATATCCTTTACACAAACAACTCTTACTATATCGACTTTATAGATGTTGTACTACCTCTTTTCCTTCAGGTGGTCTGACTTCACCTAGCTGGGAAGGTCAGATGTAACCAAATTCCAGAAATGTGGTTCTATTACCCTCATAAGTGGCTTTGGGCAACTGGCATTTTTAGTCCAGCTGTCGAAGCTAGGACCAAGCCTCTGCATTCTGTAGTTGTCCCTGAAGCCATCCCTGAGGCTACAAGATGCAAGGTTTGCTAGAGGCTTATCCCCTGTTCATGCAAGTGAGGAAAATATCTCTAAAGTACATAGTAATAGGCCCCTAATGCACTGGAGTGCTCATTTCTAACATGCACTGTACTCATGAGTAAAGCCTCTTGTGCAGCCAAGGATATCTGAAACTTCTTTTACAGCTGCCTTTATGGGCTTCTCTTTTATTTCCTCCCTAAATTTGTTATTATTATTATTTTCATGAGGACGAGCTAGAGGGAGCAGGAGCAGAGAGACAGAAAGACAAGCAACCTCAACAGGGTCTCATGCCATGATCCCTGCTGCCTCTGCAGCCTTCCCACTCAGCCAAGATCATGGGCACATGCCCAGCATGTACAGGCTGGCTGCGAAACCGAACCCAGGATCTTACATATGGATCCAACTTCATTTGAATAATGTGTTACCTGTGTGCCACTGAGCTGGTCCATTTTTTTAAATAATAATTTTTAATTGTAATTTAAAATTTGCATAGAATAGCTATACATATTTGTGGGTGGGCTATAGTATAGTTTTTTTGAAACATGTATATTTTGTGTCATGACCAAATCGGGTTAACAGATGTAAGAGGACATGAACTAGGTGGATTGGCTTATAGAATACTGCATTGAGAAAAGATAGTTGATGACAATTCAATAAATATTTCAAATTAACCAAATGTGCACAATCCAAAGTAATGATACATGTTGGAGACGGCAAGGATTGGTCTTTCTGATATTATTTCTATTTCACAGGTGAGGAAATTGAGGTACCGAGAAGTTCAATAACTTGTTGGTACAAAGTTCAATTTCTTTGTTGGTACAAAGAACCAGGATTCAAATGCAGGCTGCCTGACTTTCAAGTCTATTTCTAATCCTTCTCTAGTGTCACCTGCTCTGAACCACTGGCAGTTACTCTGGATGATAGGTGATATCTTTTTTTTGAGAGTGATTTTTTTTTTCATTTTATTTTCTTTCATACATTCAATCACATTATTATTTGTCTTACAAAAAGGATATTTCAACAGGTGAACATTTCTCCCTAGTACTGTTGATAAAACTATGAAATATCTTCAATAGATAATAGGTGATATCTTGAGGTTGGTAATTAGCAGAGTGCCAACAGCCATACTCCTACCAGTTGATTGGCTTGTCTCAACAGAGGGGCAATGTCTGAATTGAGCTCTGCTCAACCAAGCTCTGAGGCCTGTTTCTTCCTCAAAGCTTCCTGATGCAGATCTTCATCCCTAGGATAATGGTTCTCTTTCCCATTCCCTGTGGGTTGAGTACTCTCTGAAGCCACCCCTGAGACTACAGGATGCAGGGCTTGCTAGAGGATTATATCCTGTTCATGCAAATTCATGCAAACTGAGTATGTGACTCAACAGGAAGACTGACTAAAGTCTACAGGTAGTCAGTATTTGACTATGTCCTCAGAAGTTCTCAAATACATTTGAAGTGGCTAAACAATTATATAACAAGTCTATGTTGAACTTTAAAACTACGAGGCCTTGTAAAGATAACTTCTTGGATGACAAAATGGAGTCTATGAGGAAAGATAAAAATCTATTTCATTTGAATTTTTGTTTAGATATAAAGACTGGGGAGAGATGTTACTTGTCAAGGGAGAGGGTCCTTAGCCTTTGGCTGAAGAAGATAATGTATGCCCATTATGCCTTTTTAGGCATTCTTTAGGCTGGTATTGAGAGAAAATACGAATTTTCTCTTTTCCTCTCCAATTGCTGATCTTGTAGTAAAATTATAATCTGTTATTATAGAAATGAGTGAAAGGGCAATATCAAGGAAAAAAGTTCCCAAGGATATGAAAAGAGTCATAGCTTTTTTGTAGCTTATAGACCATTGTTTTACTTTCAAATGATGTCATATTCTTGATGGACAGGATTTTTGTGTGTGTGTTTTTGTAATGCTCATGGAAAGAAAGGAAGCTAATATTTATTGATCATCTACTGTGTGCCTTGAACATTATTTCATTTACTCCTCATGTCAGTCTTCAGAGTGGGCATTGTAGTCTACTCTTAAAAATGAGAACCTGAGGTACCAGCAGTTGACGCAACGGCTATGTTGTTGGACTCCCATGCAGTCAACTGTGGTTTGAGTCCTGGACCCAGTGGCTTAAACTCATTCTGGGCACGTGTGTGTGTGTGCCCAGGATCCCAAGAGGAGAATGGAGGAGAAGGGACTGTGGGCATGGTCATCCCCCCTGGGGGGTGATTTTTCACTTTCTGTCTCCCGGTCTTTCTGGAAAGTGCATCCACCCTATAGCAAAAACCTGTCCAAAAAAAAAAAAAAAGAAAAAAAAGAAAAAAAAGAAAGAAAGCCTGAGGGACTGGACAATGGCTCTACAGGAATGCAACACTTTATGAGGCTGGCTCACATAGGAGCATGCTGGGTTTGTGAATGGAGACCTCTATGGATACTCCATGTACACATGTGCCCATGATCTGGGACTGACTGAGGCAGGGGGTGAATCATGGCATGAGGATCCTGTTGGGGATACACCCTTTCTCTCTCTCTCTCTCCTGTTTCTCTTGCTCATGGGAGAAATAAATACATTTATAGATTTTTTTAAAAATTAGAACTTGAGTTGGGAGAGAAAAAAGGTTTTCTGAGATCATCCAGAAGTAAGCAAAGGCCATAGACCCCTAACATGGTCTTCACAGGGTCTATACCAACCCCACAACACCCTGCTAACCTTCCAGGGGTGATGAATGCATGCTGACTGGTCCAAATCCTTTCCTTCTCATCCTTCACTTCCAGGGGATTCACACTGTCAGGTAATAGGCTCAAATTGTGGTGCAGTTTTTAGTGAGCATGAGGCCCAGAGGATGGAGGCAATGAGTGTGACCTGGTTAGCGTGGTATTCTCTAAGTCACGGTGAGAAGGTGCACGCCACATCTTAAGTTCCCAAATTACTTGTGTTTACACACTCTGGTATTTGTATCCGTCATGGGCTGTACCTGTTTTGAGATGGTCAAGCCCGTTCCCAACTGAGGAATCAGTATATGCAGACAAAGGAAAGATGAGAAAGTCCGTTGTGCCCAAATGACACTTTGCAGCCTATGCAGAGCCTTGGTTGGGAACAGCAGGCAGTGGGCTCAGAAAGGTGCAACTGCCCTGAACAGGATACCATCTGGACAGTGGCAAAGACAACTTCCTCATTATCCTTTTCATTTTCTTTTCTCTCTTCTGGTAGTCTGATTCCTGATCTCATACAAAATATAGAAGCCCTTCCTTGCCTTTGCGAAAGGCAGAAAACTGCCTTGTGTTGGTGGATTTAGCCTGAGGTGGAGGCCTTTTTTCTTCAGGTCCTTCCCTATCCGAAGCTTTGTGGCAGGATGCAGTAGTTGATGATGGGTGAATTGGTTACTTCCCATCTTGAAGATACCCAGAGGTGAATGCCCATGCAATGGGCAGGTTTATGCCCGAGTGCCTGCTCTGTGGCCAACATCATGTGATTTTCTTGTTTTCACATCTGTAGGAGAGGACTTTGACATGGCTGCATACTGGAGACTACGCATCCTAGATAGTACCTGCTGAGTCTCACGGGCCCTGAGGTGAGTGGGGGAAGTCCTGTTCTTGACTTCTGAATGAAGACATTTTCTTACTGATCCAACAGTTCAGATTAACTCACACAAAAATGATAACCTTAGAGAAATGCCGTATGTCGGGGCAGGTGGTGGTCAAAGCTGAGAAGAATAATTCATTGTAAGTGGCCCTTTAGACCAAATATGTTGATCCCTGGCATTTGTCGTAAACATTTTGTTAGTATATTTTACTCTGTTAAGCAAAGCTCCCCAAATGAAAAACATGTCCCTGGTGAAATTTTAGATTCGAATGCAAGCCCATGGCTGCCCATTCCCTCCCAGCATGGAGTTGGGGGTAACATATGAGTGCATTTATTCTTCTTTGCACTTTCTTACACTATTGAGGTAAAGGACTTATGAAAACATATCTTTTAGTGATTCTGCAGGCTTTTTAAAATCCCATTTTCAAGAGAGATAATAGAGAATGCAGAGTGTGACAGAAAATCTCCCACTGGTACAGAAAGCTACAAGGCTGCCTTTGCAGCTTTGTGTAGAAGGGAAAGTGGCCAGGCTTATGTTTCTGGAACTCTTCACAAGCACACTTTGCCGCTACTCACCCACCAGTCTCCTTTCTGTGAACAGGAGGGGGTGAAAATGTTGATAGTGCTTCCTCTCCATTGAAATAAACCAGGTTCTATTTCTTCCAAGAAATGATTGAAGCCTTAAGAAATGTATATAAGACCAAAATACCTAAAGCATTGAAAATTTTTGTAAAGCAGTTTCATCCTGAGGAGAGGCCATAGAAACCAAGCATTTGTTTTCAAGTAAGAAAATGTATCCAAATTACAGGCATAATTTGGCTCTTAGAGACATAGCATCATCCTTTCTCATCTGTTCATTCACAGCTCTCTACTGGGCTTCCATTTGCCAAGCTCTGTGCATCAGCAGACATAATAGTGTTGATTCTACAGAAGATGGTCCTGCCATCTTTCACTAGTGGGAAAGGTGGGCGGTGTTCCAGCATTTGTACAAAGAATTAATAAAATGCCACCCAGTCAACTAAATTAGAACACTATAATACAGTGGGTGCCATGAGTAGCAAGTAAAGGAATAACTTGGCTGAGAAATGGACAACGAAGGTTGGGCCAGAGTTACCAGAGCAGAAAGATGTGTGTGGGAGGGTGCACAACAGGAGAAGGCTAGTGGCCTTATGCCCCAGGAACAGGGAGGGTCCAGGTCCCTAAAAGTTCAGACTGTATACATCCCCCCCACCCCCAAGCACCATCTTCTGCAGACCCTGGGAAGGTTGCTGGGAGCCACAGGTACATGCCTGGAGATGTACAGCTCACTTTCTACTCTAGCTTCCTCCACTCCCCCAGTGTGAGAGGTTATAAGTAAGTACTGGCGACCCTGGGCACATGGTGCATGTGGTGAGCTCTGTAATTGTCCTCTAGGGCAGGGAGCACCCCTAGACCCTGCATCTGCTCAGGCTCCCCTTCTCTCCTGAGCAGCACGTATGTTCTCCCTGGAAACCCAGTTAGCCATGTTCATCATCCTGCTAATGTGGAGGAAGCAGCAAAGTGGACAAATTCAATAAACAGATCATCGAAAACCATTTCCATCTCACCCACAGAGCATTGTATGCACAGGGTTGGAGGACCATCACTTCCCTGCTGGGCTCCTGCAGCACTGAAGTACATTTCTGTTTCTCTGAACACACTGACGGTGGACAGGGATGGCCAGAGGTGTCTTCATAGAGGAGAGGACTTGGGGCTAAGAGGGAAAGAAAAATGCAAAGGCAGAGAGGGCAGGATCTGGCTAGAAAAGAAAAGGAATAAGTGTCCGGAGGCTAGAGAGGCAGGGGAGGCCGGCATCAGGAGTTCTGGGTCACCCTCTTAGAGATTGCCAAACTTGTTTGTCAAGAGACCATGTAGGAGTAAGATGAATTCAAGCAGCATAATCAAGTCTGAACATTGGGCCAATCTGTGGCTCAGTGGTAATGTGCTATAGAAGTGAAGTTGGATTCATATGGAAATTGTGAGTTCAATTCCCTGGTCTACCTGTACATACGGGGGGCAGGGGAGTGTCCATTATCTTGGGTGGATGGGAGGACTGGGAAGGGGATTGTGGCATTGGACCTTGTTGAGGGTGCTTCTCTCTCTCAATCATGAAAGAAATAAAAACTTGAAAAAGAATAAAAACTCTAGAAAACAAATCTGAATATTGCTTTCATTGCCTCTTAGGATAGTTCATGTAAGTTGAAATCTGATCATATACCCTTGCTTTAAGTTTTCTCTTCCTCTCTAACTCTGTGCCTTTGGACACTGCATTCCTATCATTCTTTTTTTTTCCCCCAGTAAAGTCCCTTTTATTTATTTACCTAGAAATTATTCATTAATTAAATCACCAGGAATCTTCAGACCTTAAAGACCACCAAGACCTGGGCTCTGGGGCTTGCTCTGCCTCTCCCGGTCCTTAATGAGGTTTAGAGGGAGAGACGTCATTAAAAGAGACCAAGTCAGATGGTGCAGGTCCTCCTTTCCCAGTCATTGGACAAGCTGCTCAATTCTTGTCCAGAGCAGGAAAGAGCCAGGACTTCAGAAAACTCTAATAAGAATTTGACATCGCACTGTAAGACCTCCCTTAACAATTTAGATTTATCAACAATATTGGTCCAAACTCATTTCCTTCTTATCTAATATCTTTTTTTCCAATTTTCCAATTTGCTTTTTTTGTATGTAATTTTAATAAATAATTTTATGCCCTGCGCAGAAATGAATCAACCCAGTGCAAAGAATAATCCCTCATCTTGCTTTAGAAAGAAGAAACAGATTTCTCTATTCCTTTTCTACCCAAGAGATGAACACACGTCCCCTCAAAGTTCAAAACTTTACTTCCAGCTTTGGAATGTACATAGAGGCAGCTTTTGATGGACTCAGACAAATCATTTAGAAAGGCCAGCTGGAACCACTATGCAGGCAGACGTTTTGGAAATTTCTTAAAGTCAGCTCTTGAGAATTGCCCACGATTGTGTACAAGGACTCAAAGGTCCAAACCATTCCTGTTTTTCTATCTCATGCATTAGGTTCAGAGGAAGCATTAGAATGGTCAGGAGCAGGAGTGGCAGCAGTGTCCCCACGAGGTAGGACCTCAGTAACTCGAAACTTGTAAATGATCCAGGCTGTCTGTTTTCCCTTTTTTGCCCACGATCCATGCTTGGTGACCTTCTCCATACTTGGAAGATTGATTTTAGAACAAAAGTGAGCTGCTTGATCTCTTGACAGACAAATCAGTAACCCCCCTGAGGTTTCAGTTGAGGTTCCTTGAAGGAGTCTAAACCTTCCACTAGCCTTGCTGATGGCAGCCATCTTGGCAATGATGGACAGATTATGAATGACAAAGGATGCCTCATTTCTTTGTTGTTTTGCCAGGTTCTGAGAATGTACTAGGATGCCAAAGCCTGTTATATCAGTGGCTGCATGGGCATTAATGTGCATCAATCCAGCAGCAGTTCTATTTAGGGTAGCCGTATTGAACATGGCTTCCTGATAGGCCAGCTCAACTTCATTTCTGGAGACCACCATCTTTACCTTATTCCATCTTTCAGGATTATCCAGCCATTGGTCTATTTAGGGTAGCCATATTGAATATGGCTTCCTGATAGGCCAGCTCAACCTCTTCTCTGGAGACCACCATCTTTACTTTATTCCATCTTTCAGTATTATTCAGTCAGTGGTGGGTATTGGCAGCAACTTGGGTTCCTAAAGTTTTGGTTAACACAAGCACATCCCCAACAACTGCACTGTCAGGCATTATGAATTCATTTGGCTGACATACTACAGTGGCAACTCCACCAATGATGTCCAAGGGTTGACCACTGTCTGTCCATCAGTCACTGTAGTCTATCCTTTTTCAGCAGCATCCTGAAAGCCTTTAATCAGGAGTGATGTTACCTTTTCTTGTTCTTCCTTGCTCATACTCTGGCTGACACTGAGCAACATTAACATATTGTCACATTCAGTAATGCCCATGGCATGGAGGTCACTAAGCACGTTGGCACAAGCTATGCGCCCCATCATGTAGGGATCTTCCACCAAGGGGTAGAAGTCTGTGGTTTGCACCAGTGGCAGGCGTCCATTCCAATGCCCAGGGCTGGAAAGGTTGTACTGGGACCCGCCCCAGTTGGTTGGCCGGCTTCTTGGGCCGCCTTGTCTTGGCCTCCCACCAGGTCCCGGCCTAGCCGGGGGTGGCCCCTCAGGCTCTGTCAGTCTCGCCAAGAGTTTGAGCAGTGTTTCTTGGGGGACCTTGCAGCCTCAGCCCTTCATACCAGAGAAGCCCGTCAGCCACCAGCTGTGTTTGAGGCCCAAAGCCTGGGGCTTGAAGAGCAGGTAGTTAGGGAAGCCTTGGCCCTGAGACCAGCCTGCCCGGCCTGAGGACATTTCTGCCACCACTGCCATCGCTGCCACCTCTTCTCCGCTGGCTCCGGTTGCCAAGGCTTCTGCCATCTTGTGCTGCAGGACTCGTGCCACACGCCGTTCCCCCATTCCTATCATTCTTGATATATATTTTTTTCTTTTTAGAGGTTTTTACTCTAGGGCGTGTGTGCTCGCTGGAGAGATAGAAAGTGAGAAATCATCCCCTAGGGGGGATGGTCATGTTGCAGTCCCTTATTCTCTATTCTCCTCTAGGGTTCCTGGGCACGCACGCACATATGCCTGGTGTGAGTCCCCGGGTCTGGGACTCAAACCGTGGTCAAATGTGTGAGAATCCAGTGATGTAACCACTATGCCACCTGCTGGCCCCTCATTCTTGAATTTTTTTTATGGGGATCTTACTCTAACAACCTTGATTTTTTGGCCCTACCAGTAGAGCCATAAACTTCCAGGATAATCAGGGAGATGTTGTTCTAGAGAAATCTTTTTCAAGTTGTTTTTAATGTGGGGCTAATGATACCATCTTTCCTTTATTTCACCAGACCTAGACAACCAAAGAGCTTTTATGAAATTTTCAAGTTTGTTAATATGGTTTGT